TTTAGAAGCAGAAAAGCTAGTAGGATATGAAACTGAGATCTATAGAAGGTCACTGGTTATTTGTCAATGTTGTTTTGGAAGAATTTGCTTCTTTGTTATATGGGTTTTAAATCCACTTTGCTTTTAATCATCCCTTTCTCACACACTGTTTTAATCTCTCTCTCTCACACACACACTAACACAATTGTATTATCACTCACAATGCAATTGGTATACAAAGTTTGTATTTTCACCTATATATACAGATATTATCACTCACAATGCAATTGGTATACAAAGTCTGTATTTTTACCTATATAAACAGATAAAGTTTCTACATGTGAAGTTCATCACTTTTTGTGGCTTTCGCATGATTTATACATAATTATTTATTAATTTCTTTTGGAAGAGGAGTTTATCAAATTAATTGGAACTTTGGAAGGCGATCAAATTATGGAGGGTTTTATCTTTCATGATTTGGTTGCAATTTTTTTTGGAAAGATACGCATTAACTTAATTTATTTATGACTGAGAAAAAACATATATATACAAGGGGTAATCAAGAATTAAAGTTTCAACTTTCAAGTTCTTTTATTTATGATGGATCAGGTATGATCTACACCACTTCTAAAATTTATCTTTCATGATTTTTTTGTGTATTAAAATTATGTCATATTTATGATGGATCAAGATAAGATCTACACTACTTCTGAAGTCTATATTTCACAAATTTTGTGTATTAAAATTAAATCCCAATGAAAAAAATTAGAATATTATGTTTTTCATGAATCTAATTGGCATAAGAATAGAATTCTCAATTTTATTATTTCTTTCTTCTTCTTTTTTTTTTTTTTCTTTTTTAAATGTAAGTTCTCAATTTTGATGCCTAAAAGCCATATGAACTTTCTGAGCTTCTCTGTAACTTAATTTGGTGGCTGATTTGTAAAAGCCAACTAGTGATTCATGTTAATGATTATTAATTCCACAATAATTGATTAGTTGATTGATTCACATTATGAATCATTCAAATTAGTCCAAAATGGAGAGTTAATACTTCAAATTGTTGTACCTTTGTGAAATATTAAGCCATATCCAGTGAATTAAGAACAGGATTATCCAACACAGGGTCACCACTATGTATGGTTGAATGAAATGATCGAGATCGATGATTTTCTGTCCAACAGTTATAAACTTTCGTAGGAAATATGTCATAGTTTGTCTTAAATCTTTTGAAAGACATCACTGATTGTTGTTCAGCCCAACTGGAAGATTATAATTGCATTGTCGGTTTGTTACAATGATATGTTGAATCTAATGATTTTATGGTCTCTTAGTGGAGAAAGACCTTCCAGGGATAAGAGACATAGGGCTAAAGAGAGAGCCTAAAAAGGATCTTTCGTGTATAATCCTACATAATCTCGAATATTATCGGTTTCGGTTTATAAACCAAATTCCTAAATTCATGGAGATATAGAACAACACCTGGAAACCTATTACATTTAGTGATTCCTCATCTGGTATTGAGCTCAAAGTGGTTACTTGGGAGCACCCTTATACTTAAGATAATGACAATGAAATATAATGATCCAAGTGGTGTTCGTGAAAATCTTTAAAGTAATTCTTGTTCACTCCATTATGTCTTTTCTTTCGGTGCAATTTACTCCAATAAAAATAAATTATAAGAAAGAGAAGTGGAAGATGAGCGAGGTAATTAAACCTCGGATATATGGGTCGGATATATTCGCACATTTCATTTAAACTCTGGTGTTTTTGTACATAATGAGAATCAACTCAGAACGTTCAAATTTACAATTCGCCCCTTGAGATCCCTTAACCACATGGCACTTGGTTTATACATAGTCATTCTTATTTTAAGTAAGGTTCCATGAGAAAGGTTTGTCCAGGTTTCAGTCTAGAAAACTAAAGGTAAACTCGAATTCTAGATGTTCCACTAAACACTTGATTGTTTGAGTGTCACGAAGGAGGTGTCAATGTTATATAAACATAAATGGTAGAGTTAGTGTGTGTAATTTTTGAAAACACAAGAACATCTTATGTAATTTTAGTTTCGTGAAAAGGTGAGTGTAATTTTTCCATAATATTTTCCCCCAAGTATCTGCTATTTCTCATCCAAATATCGTAAATGTGCCATGTATCACACACTTGTTTAACTATATACCATGTTATGATTTTATCTATAATTTAATTCCAAAAAAAAAAAAAAAAAAAGATGGTGTGGTGTTTGTTTAATCGTTGAATATGATTAATAATTAAATATTCTAAATCATAAGTCATGTAATAATATAGGCGAATCAAAATATATTGGACTATACTACTATGATTTAAGATTATTTAATAATTTTTTTTTTTATTAAATATAGATCTAAAATACTAAGAGAGAAAATTATTTGAGAACATCAACACAAAAAAATATATAAAAAATAAAAAATAAAAGGAGAAGAATATCCAACGAGAGTGTGATGTCACATATGTGAGTTCCAGACTTCCAGAGAGTGCAGTTCCTTTTTAACTTTTTTATGTTTCTCAAAAATAATTTAATAATTTTTCGGTTGCAACAAGTGTCAAAAATATATACTGGGGCCGACTGTGATGCCACCGAGACCCTGGGCCGAGTCGGAATAGAAGGACTCTTGTAAACCGGTCGGTTTACAACTGATAGTAAGACGCCTATTTCTAAGTTTCAATTTTCACAGACCTAAAAATTCTCTGGTTTTGGCACTTGTGGTGGTGGTTCAGACATGGAATCGAAGACGAAGAAGAGTTCCGATTCAGCAGAGAAACGCGATGATTTGAATTCAAAATCAACGGAGGAGGAGGAGAAGAAGAAGCAGCAAAAGGGGATGAAGATTGAAGGGTACCAAATAGAGGGTTTGTCGATTGCTGGGCATGAAACGTGCGTAATCCTCCCAACGCTCAATTTAGCATTCGACATCGGCAAATGCCCCCAACGCGCCATTTCCCAGCAGTTCCTCTTCATCTCTCACGGTCACATGGATCACATTGTGAGTCTCTGCTTACCCTGTTACATTTATATACATTCATATATATATATATATATATATCTATATATATATATATAATGGATTTTTATGGGTTTGTCTAATTATTGCATTCTTGATGTGATATAAAATCTAATCTTTCGGGATTTAGTTTGGTTTTGAAGTAATAGAGAATATGATTATGAGTATTTTTTAAGTTTTTTGAACTGAGTCAAATATATGGAATTAAAGGGTCAATTTTGTTGAGTTGTTTAAATTTGTGCTCCTACATATTTTTTTTACAATAATGAGAATCATTACTTTGTATCTGAATAATTATAAAGACCCTATCACTGCTATTTTTTTTGCGACAACCCATGATGCTCATGGTTTTAATTGGTTGGACTAAAGAGAGAGGCCACTCACTTTGGTGTGTGTTTATTGAGTGTAAATTTGTTGTGGATTTTTTCTAGTGTAAGCTGTAAATAACCCAATTTTCAACACATATAATTCAGAGTATAATATATTGTCAATGCAATGTCTTGAATTAATGTGTAAGAGATATACAAAACCAAGAGGGGCATGCCCCTTTGTACAAGAACAGCAGTCAGCTTAAGGCATATTGGAGATAATAAAAAGCCAAAAATTAAAGAATAACAGTACAAACAGCCCTGAGAACATCAAAATAATACTACAAAATGACAAAATGGCCATATAAAGTGCGGCATGAAACTCACAAGCAACCCACAAATTAAAACTCCAAAGCTGCAAAAACAAACTGAAGCAACGTGAAGAGAGCAACGACAACTAGCATGAAGAAATGCAGAAGGACATAGACAAAAATAAAAATAAAAAATTGTGGGCACTGAACCAGCTTCCATGTAACTTGTGTGAGTGTGTGTTAAGACACCAAAAATGGACTGGGCCGGGCACGATCCAGATTGCTAATAACGGGTCGGGTCAGAGCAACCGCTCCGAACCAAGCCTTCACTAGACAAGCCCAGGACCGGAAAATCATGTTGGAAGCCCGATTTCAGATAAAAGGAATTGGGCCCATAACCAAGAGAAGCCCAGAAGGTTTGCCCAATGCAAGGAGTTAGTTAGGAAGCTTCTAGAAGATTTGTAACAATCTATAAATAGACTGAAAATAGAGGGAAGGGGGGGTTGGAAAATTTCTTGAAGTGTAGAATTATTCTTTCTAAATAGAGAGTATTTTTCCTGCATCTTCAATGGCGCCGTCTGAACGGGAGAGCTGATGGTTTCGTGCGTTCGGAAGAAGAAGAAGCAGCTAATGTAAGGAAGACGTCAATAGTCTCTACGGAGGAGAAGTCCAAAACCAAGATCCGGCAAAAACAAGCTCCACCACAACGTCAGACCTTCTGGAAAGCAGAGAAGAGGCCTAGAGAGGAGGAGTCGGTCACTCCACTTAAAGTCACTCTGGCAAGGTTATATCAGGAGAAAAAAGATAAGTTTCATTCTCCCCTACTAATTAGACAACCTCTCGAATAGAGAGATCAATCTAAACATTGTGCTTTCTATAGTGATTTTGGTCATCAGACTAATGAATGCAGGAACTTAAGGAGGCAAGTGGAAATGCTGATAGCAAAGGGCGAGTTTGCAGGATATATTCAAGGGCCGACAGTGGAGCAGAACCGACCGGCAGAGCAAGTGAAGGGAAATCTAAAGCCAAGCTACCATAACGCTCAGCCTGTTCAGATAATAAATACAATCCATGGCCGACCTGAGCCGACCGAGGAGTCGGAAGAACTACTTTGAACGCGCCTCCAGCAAGCGCAGATGAAAAGAAGGATAGGTAGTGTAAACACTCTACACCAGCCGAGCACATCAGTTCAGATAAAGTTCGCCAGAACGGATCTGTGACGCAAGGATATTTTTGACCGAACATGTCACGAGATGTAGAAGAATTCTCTAGAAGATGCGATAAGTGCCAAAGGTCTGGACCACTAATCCACCAACCACCTGAAGACTTGCACGTAATGACCAAACCATGGCCTTTCGCGCAATAGTGGATGGATGTGGTTGGCCCTCTCCCGACCGCGAGATCGCAGAACAAATACGTTCTGCGTGCAACAGATTATTTCACCAAATGGATAGAGGCATAATAGAACCGTACCCCAGTGTGACCCAGACTCAATAAGCAATTGAGGGAGTTGTTGGAGGAGAATGGAGTCAATCAGAAGTTGGCGGCGGTTAGCCATCCGCAGGCGAACGGTCAAGCTGAAATTACTAACAGAACAATCTTTGCTTGCATCAAAAAGAAGCTTGAGGACGAGAAGGGTAAGTGGTTGGATGAACTTCCGAGCGTCTTGTGGGTTTATAGAACAACCCCTAGACGGCCAACTAAAGAAAGCCCGTTCGCTCAACTAAAGAAAGCCCGTTCGCTCAACTAAAGAAAGCCCGTTTGCTATGGCATGCGGCATTAAAGCAGTAATACCGGTTGAACATTTAGTTCTAACCGTTCGGAGTTCGGCATGGAATAAAGAGCAGAACGATAGTATGTTGAAATTTAATCTCGATTTGCTGGAAGAGAAAAGAGATGTAGCGGCTGTAAGGCTTGCGTCATATCAGCAAACTTTTATGAATAGTCACAACAAAAAGGTGAAGCATAGAGGCTTTACGCCTAGCGATTTAGTTCTAAAAAAGAAGGTGGGAATTGTTAAGAAGATGATGTCACCCTGGGAAGGTCCATACAGAGTTGCAAAGGCCATAGGAAAGGGGGCATACAATTTAGAGGCCATGGCTGGGAGGTTGGTCAACAAACCATAGAATGCCACATCTCTAAAAGGTACTATCAGTAAAGGTTGAATTTCATTCTGAACAATGTTGATTTAGAATTACGCTTTTACAAATGTACGTACTCTCCGAGCCAAGTAAGTGGCAAATAGCACTACGAGCCCAACGCCAAACACTTGCATATAATAAAAGTCAAGTGGCAAGTGACATTCTAGCCGAGCGTCAGACACTTAGCCAAGTAAGTGACAAATGGCACTACGACTCGAACGCCAAACACTTGCACCAAATAAAAGCCAAGTAAGTGGCAAGTGGCATTCTAGCCGAGTGCCAGATGCTTAGCCAAGTAAGTGGCAAGTGGCATTCTAGCCGAGCGCCAGACGCTTAGCCAAGTAAGTGGCAAATGGCACTATGAGTTGAACGCCAAACATTCACACAAAATAAGAGCCAAGTGGCAAGTGGCATTCTAGTCGAGCGCTAGGCACTTAGCCAAGTGAGTAGCAAATGGCACTACGAGCCGAACGCCAAACACTTGCACAAAATAAAAGCCAAGTGGCAAGTGGCAAGTGGCAAGTGGCATTCTAGCTGAGCGCCAAGCACTTAGCCAAGTAAGTGGCAAGTGGCACTATGAGCCGAACGCCAAACACTTGCGAAAAATAAGTGGCAAGTGACATTCTAGCCGGGCGCCAAACACTTAGCCAAGTAAGTGGCAAATGGCACTACGAGCCAAACGCCAAACACGCAGAATAAATAAGCTAGATGACAAGTAGCATTCTAGCCGAGCGCTAGGTACTCAGCCGAGTGAGTAGCAAATGGCACTACTAGCCGAACGCCAAACACTTGCGCAAAATGAAAATCAAATAGAGAAGTTAAACTGTCAGTTCATTTAAGCACAGGTTGGAGTATGGAAGCTTTGCAAAAGAAAGTCATCATTTCATTCATCATCATAAAATATTCCTTGAAGTACAGGAAATGACACAGAAATAAGAAAGTAATACAAAAGACAGCAGAGCATTATTCTATTATATCCTCCCCTGCGCCTGATCCATTGCCTGTTCCATCATCCTTGGCTGCCTCATCATCACCGATTGGCTCATTGCCTCCCTCTTCATCATTGGTTGCTTCATCACTTCTGGAGGGAGAATCAAGATGGATGATCTCCTCAGTTGGTAAAGTTCTGTCAGTAGCAACGGCTGTGAGAGGAACAACGGTGGTGAGGGGAGGAACATTCAGAGGACGGACAGGTGGAATGACCCCAGAAGTTGTAATCTCATTGCACTCAACAAAGATATTTTCAGCAGGAGCAGGGGATGGATCCTTGTACACGCTTGGTGGGACAATGTCCAGAGAGGCATCCAGCTCATCCGGACCTGCGCATGAGCTTGATTTGCCTTCAGGAGGAGAACGGTCAATAAAACCATCTCTATATCCCTCAGCGTATCTGATAGCCCCGATCCTGGAAAAGTGCGCGTGAAGAGCCCTCATGTTCAGCAGAGCGGTGCGCTCGTTCGAGAATCTCTTCACAGAAACAGAATGGGTCAACCGTTCAGCAATAAGAGTGCGTTGAATATCCCCCTTCTCAGCCTTCATAGCATCCCTTCCTGTCTGCGCAACGTTCTTCTTTGTCTTCAGAATGTCTATTTCACCTTGGAGAGAATCCCGCTCGGCCTTTAGAGCGTTCCTCTCAGCCCTCATAGCGTCGATCTCCTTATCTTATTCATTCAGCCTGACCAACAGTGGTGTATTTTTAGCCTTTGCTTCTTGCTCAGCTTTGACGGATCTGTTGAGACCGGTAGAGGGAACTTTAAGCTTTTCTTTCAAAGTTTCAATACCTTTTTGGAAGGTGAACATCCCAAATAGAGTCTGCACAAAGACACAGATGTTCGGATAAGTACAAGTGTCAAATAATCAGAACGGGAAAAACAGAAGGTGAAAAGGAGAGGAAGAATTACCTCAACAGCAGTTGCTAGGAAGCGTTGGTACATCTCATTGAAGGTCATTTTGTTCTGAACCTCTACGTCTGAGCAAGGGACGCCATGGAGTGGCAGAGGTTCTGGCTACTTCACCCTCTGGAATGGTTACCTGAGGGGAAGGAAGAGTCATGGTGATCCTGAAAGACCGAGCCCTTTGGGCCGGAGGAAAAACGCTTTGATCATGGCCACCTTCAGGTTGAGGCCTCTTGCCCAGGCTCTTCTCTGAAACACGAGTTCAGGCAACGGGAGAACTCACAGCACTTGGAGAAGAACCCTCAACGCCCAATAAACCACGGTAGTAATGGTGCAGCAAATCTCAAAGCACCGTTCTCTGAACTAACCGTTCGCTTCCCCACGTCATCACCTCGAGCTGTCACATCATGATTATGTCTTTTCGATAATCTCACCCTAATTAATTAGGGACAGATTATGGGGGCAGATGAAGACACCAAAAATGGATTGGGCCGGGCGCGATCCAGATTGCTAATAACGGGTCGGGCAAGAGCAACCGTTCCAAACCAAGTTTTCACTAGTCAAGTCCAGGACCGGAAAATCATGTTGGAAGCCTGATTTCAGATAAAAGGAATTGGGCCCATAACCAAGAGAAGCCCAAAAGGTCAGCCCAACGCAAGGAGTTAGTTAGGAAGCTTCTAGAAGATTTGTAACAGTCTATAAATAGACTGAAAATAGAGGGAAGGGGGTTGGAAGATTTCTTGAAGTGTAGAATTATTCTTTCTAAATAGAGAGTATTTTTCCTGCATCTTCAGTGTGTGCTTGCGTGTGTATATATGAGGTTAGGAATTGGGTTCAACCATTAAAGTTAGATTTGGATTGCTTAAAGATTGGGTTGGTCTGCCAAGTTGCACCCTTAATTGAAACATTCTAGAATTCTGTTTAAACTAAAAAGTATATCTGGATTGAGTCTTGTCTTATTGGGCTTCCCCACAATTTTTTGTTTTTTTAGCATCACAAATTCACAATCTCATTGTTATATATTTCTCACTTCTCCCCACCAGCTCCTGGTACACAGAGTTCACTCACAATTTTTTTGTTATTTCAGCATCACAATTGTCATTGTTATATAATTTATCACTTTCCCCACCTTGTTGGACATTTTCCCCCACAAATTTTCTACCCACTTAATTCTTCAGTTAACCATGGTATGCAAACCACTTTTCTTATACAGCAAAAATGATATCTTCCTTCCTTGTGGGAATCTATTTGTGACATAAGTTTTCATTCCTTAGGGAGGATTGCCCATGTATGTTGCAACTCGTGGCTTGTATAGAATGACGCCCCCTACTATTTTTGTACCAACAGCTATAAAAGAAAGTGTAGAAAAACTCTTTGAGGTGCACAGGGCAATGGACCAATCAGAGCTGAAGCATCAGCTAATTGGCTTGAATGTGGGTAATGTCCACTTTCTCATTGTATTTTGTCATTAGATTTCTTCTTGTGCTCATTTCTATTGGTATATTGTATTTGCTTAACTTTAGACTTTGTTATATTTTCAGGAGAAGAATTTTATTTAAGAAAGGACCTTAAAGTAAGAGCATTTAGGACCTATCATGTCATACCAAGCCAGGTGATATTATGATGTTATATTTTATTCTGTATCCATAATGACATCTCTGAAAATTGAAATGATATATTCCCAGAGTCCTCTTTTGCATTGACGGATTTTGCAAATATATTATGGCAGGGTTATATAATTTACTCCATCAGACATAAACTTAAGCAGGAGTATATTGGTCTTCCAGGGAATGAGATTAAGAGCTTGAAGTCATCAGGTGTGGAGGTCTGTCTCAGTTGTTGTATCTGTATCCCTGTTAGAAGTACAAGTTCATTTTAGTACACCTATATTGAAAGAATTGAAGGAAAGTACAGGAAAATGATTAATTCCTTTAAAGTGTTTTCCTTTGATTTCCTCTTTCTTTCCTCGATCTAAATGGACCTTAGCGAAAGTTTTAATATTTACTTTCTGTCAATTGTCGGGCCTCTAGAAGTATCACTTCAGGATTTTTTTTTTTTTTTTTGGTAAAAGAGTTTGGTTTTTGTTAGTTAATTCTTTATTAGTTGTCAATTTTATACATCGAAGGTTTTTTGAATTTTTGTTTTAAAGAAATTTTGTGAGGTAGAAGTTGAATTTTAGTACTTGATGAAGCATAATGTTGAATTTCAGAACTTATTTTATTTTATTTTATTAAATGAAAGAGAATGAAGAATGGAATTTGTAAATTTATGCTTTAACAATAGTTCTAAAATGGCAGGACAAGATAAAATATTTTGGGTAAATTATCAACACCATAGATCTCCGTAACTGTATATTTGGTGGATCTTATATGCAGTCAAAATTTGTTTGACTTTTTTCATATCTGTGATTCACCCTTCCTGCTTTCTGAAGTCCTTTTCCGTCATCTCCAAACACCACTGTCCTGTTTAAAGGAATATTTATTTTAATTAATTATACTTGTCAAAAAAAAAAAAATTTTTATTTTAATTAATTAATTATATATTTTTGGGGGAGAGGGGTACATTGTTGTTTTCTTGTTAGTTAGCTTATATGTTACATGCTTGGTTTTTCATATTCGCAGATTACATACCCTATTACCTCGCCTGAAATTGCTTTTACGGGAGACACCATGTCCGACTTCATCACTGATGATTCTAATACTGATGTTTTGAAAGCAAAGATTCTTATTATGGAGGTACAACACGTGAAATGTTACTAATTCTTTGTTATTTGCCTCTCTACCTCTGGTATTCTCTTTTTTAATACAGAAACAATTTACTTACATCTTAGTAACATGGACACAATAGAGTAGAATAAAACAAAGTAGGAACTTCAGCCAAGCACATAGTTACCTTATAAATGTGTACATCTTTGTGATTTTTGTTCTGGAACACAAGTTCGAGGGCACCTTACAGTTTAAAATTTGAAAACTAAATTTACTTTTTTCTTTATAACAGGTAAGTAACAATGAATTAAAATCTAACAAAATTGTTCTTTCTAAAGGAAAAGATTTAAGTAGAATGCCCTAACAATGTGTTCTATGTAACAGAGGATGGTGTGAACCACTTATTGTGTTTGGTTGACTAATAAAGGAAAAGAAAGAAAAGTATGGTAATCATGTTTGGGGAAGTAAAGGAAAGGAAAATATTTTAATGAATTTACCACCATACCCTTTTCCATTGATTTTAACTATTATAAAAATAAGGGCAAAATTGGAAGGATAACAAAAACAACTCATCAAGCTTTAATATATCCCTCCAAACCCTCCAAATCCTTCCATTCCCTTTCTTTTCCTTCCAAAGTTTTAATACCAAACACAAATAACCATGTCCCTCCAATTTCTTTCTTTTCTTTTCCTTCCATTTCTTTCCAACCAAACTGGCCTAAGTTTATGTTTTACCATAACTAATTTTAATATCACAAATTAAAAAATAAAAAATAAAAACGGAGAACTTGTATGTTTTGAGAAAAGTACATATCATTCATCATCACTTGTTAAAAGAAAATCACTCTCATTTGTAAGTAACTTAACGCTTTCAACTATGCGATTTAATAAATGTATCCCTACCTTACTACATGTTTGAATATGTGGCTTAACACTTGCTTGTACTCAGTCCATAAACCAAAACAATGTGTTCTATGTAACAGAGGTTAGCAATTGACAACATGCAAAGTGTTCTTGGATTTAGGACCTTTCTGTTTGCTAAATTTATGATTTGTGGTAATTTTGATCTAATATTTTGGCATTTAATTTTTTTTTTTTTTCACTTGTGTTCTTCAAATATCATGCCCCATGGCAGTGGTGATTGTGGAAGAATGCGACTCTAGTTACATGCTACACATTAAGTTCTCAAGTTCGCAAACTGCATTAGATTATGCAATGATATGCTTAGACGCTGTGAATTATGTTTTCCATTATCTTATGTGATGGGCTAACGCCTAAAAGGATGTATATGGATTCGTGATAGATACAGGAGATCTGATGGTTTTCTAAATTGCTGAAAATGGATTGTTGGATTTTCTCAACAGCTACCGTAGGGTTACCAAAGTGTTTCTAGGAATTATGGAGATTTTTATGTGTATATAGTGTAAAAGGACCACTCAGTCACTTTCGCTAGCATTACCAAGACAAATAACAAATAGATATGATGCAATACAAGTAAAATATGCTTGAATTATTCCTAGAGACAAAATTCCGTCAATAAGAAATTAATCAATCTATAATTGTTGAGAACTTACAACCCATTTCATATCACAGATAAAATATCATCATTTTTATTTTTTTATTTATTTGGGGGGGGGGGGGGGGGGTGCATTCAATTTGCTGTTTACATAATACAAATAGAAAGCTCATAAAAGGAAATAATTTGCTTGCCAGCCGTGGAAAATACATAAAAACTAAGCAGCTTTCAATTAGCTGTTTAAATAATACAAATAGACAGCTCAAAGAGATATCTATATAAGGAAATAATTTGCTTGCCGGCCGTGGAAAATACATAAAAACTAAGCAGCTTTAGCCCACACAGAAAAATATCAGACAGGAACAACAGAAAATAAAGCTAGAAAAAACACAACCCCCCAACCCCCCCCCCCCCCCCCCTCTCTCTCTCTCTCATATTACTGTAAAAAATTTAAATTATACTATTTAAAAGATCTGACAAAATAGATGAACAATCACTAATGACGTTAATTCAGTTATCTGCCCACAGATAATATCACTTATTAGCATGTTTCTTTCAGCCAAGAACCTTTCTAAGGACAATTGCAAGGAAAATAAGCTAACATTCAAAATTTAAACAAAACAAATTCAATCAATAGTATCATAAGAACAATATAACCTAGCCAAAAAAGATCCTATTATCACTACCATGTACTCTCAAACGTCCCATCAGTAACCATCCGCCCATGACAAAACTCATAAGTACCACAATCAAAGATGACGCAAACATCTCCAAATTGGTCAGTCAAATCCAAAATAAATAAAGAATTCTGATGCATATAATATAAAAAAAGTACTAATATGCATTACCTGCAGTTGGAAGCTATGGCGGCGAGGCCCTCTGTGGTGAACCCTTCACAGCAAACCAAAACCAAAGACTTGAAATTTAGGAAGGATCGAGAAAGCAGCTCAAGGCTCTCATTGGAGACCACTATCCCCTTCAACCTAAGCTCCTCCAAATTCAGACCACTCTTGGCCATGGCCTCAATCCATGTATGAAACTTAAAGCACCAAAAAGGGTCTTTCCTTTTGAGCGTAAGCGACCTAACCCTGGAAACCTGGCGATGAACCTCTCCGGACTGACTCTGTAGAAATTCCATATGAATACCTCTTCCCTGCTAAACCTCTTCACTATATACCATGACTTGCATACCAAAGACACCACATTCCGGTCTCAGTGAGACGTCAAGAAATTGAATACATGCTTTAAAACATCCTCAGGAAGGATATTCATCCTTTTACAGAAACAAATAAGAATGATAGATACTAAGGATTGTATGCATGTGTGTTTGTGATTTTATGTTTGTTTGTGTGTTCGGTCACTCACTGTTCAAGTGTCGGTAAATTGGGTAGAGTATGTGTATTTGTTTGGGATTGTATGCGTGTGTGTTTGTGTGTTCACTCACTCAGGTTCAAGTGTCGAGTATCCATCATTATTATTTGTTTATGTAGAAGGATGTATATCCTTCCTGAGGATGTTTTAGAGTACTTACTCAATTTCTTGACATATCACCAAGACCGGAATGTGTTGTCATTAGTATGCAACTTGTGGTATATAGTGAAGAGGTTTAGCACGGAAAAAGTAGTCATAGGAACTTTCTACGTAGTCAGTCCGGACTCCAGAGAGGTTCATCACCAGGTTTCCTCAGGTTAGGTCGCTTACACTCAAAGGAAAGCCCCTTTTTGCTGCTTTAAGTTTCGTACCCAAGGATTGGGGATGGTTTGTTCACCCTTGGATTGAGGCCATGGCCAAGAGTGGTCTGAAGTTGGAGGAGCTTTAGATTGAAGGGGATGGTGGTCTCTGATGAGAGCCTTGAGCTGCTTTCTTGATCCTTCTTAAATTTCTAGTCTTTGATTTTGGTTCGCTGTGAAGGGTTTACCATGGAGGGCCTTGCTGCCATAGCCTCCAACTGCAGGTATACATAATACTACTTTTTTATGTGGATATGTCTTTATTACATGCATCAGAATTCTTTATTTATTTTGCATTTGACTGACCAATTTGGAGATGTTTGCGCCATCTTTGATTGTGGTACTTGTGAGCTTTATCATGATCAGATAGTTACTGATGGGGTTGTTTGACCGTTAGTGTGTACACGGTAGTGATAATAGGATCTTTTTCGGTTGTTATATTGATTTGATGATTTTTTTGATTGAATTTGGTTTGTTTAGATTTTGAGTGTTAGCTTTTCCTTGCAAATGTCTTTTTCGGTTATGTTGTATTGATCTGTAGTTCCTGTTTGATAGTTTCTCTGTGGGCTAAAGATGCTTAATTTTTATGTATTTTCCATGGCTGGCAAGCAAATTATTTCGTTATACATATCTCTTTGAGCTGTCTATTTGTATTATTTAAACAGCTAATTGAATGCTATAAATACTGTCATCAATTCCCTAACCCCGTCTTGTCGTGTCGTCACAGGTATGTTGAGGGGAACAGGAGAGTCTAGGTAACTTAGTTAATCCCATATCCATGTCTGAGTGTAATATGGCAGAGAACGATACTTCACATACTTTTGAAGGGTCTATGTAATATAGCTTCGAGTTAAAGTGAGGTGAGCTTGAACTTGTGCATTTACTTGGCTTGGTTTGGTTTGCTTGCAGCTCTTGATGATGAAAAAATTGTTACATGTGCATATACTGTTTTGAACTTTGGAAGTAAAATGCTTGAGAAACAGATGTTTTTCTGCTTCTGGTGTAAAAATATTAATAAAAAAGGGAATTAAAATAAAAGAAGTCCTAAAAACATGATCGGATCAGTCAGGAATACTCGAACTAATTTTTCTTTTGCTTTGATTTGGCACAAACTAATTTTTATCCATATTATAGCCATGCCACCATGAAGTTTTAAATGCATTATTCATAGTGTAATGTATTTCTTCTCAGAGCACCTATGTTAACAACATGATGACAGTGGAGGATGCAAGAGAATATGGACACACACATTTGTCTGAGGTCAAGTATCTTGAGCTTTTCTGTAATTTTTTTTTTCTTTGTGCCATCTCTTGTCAGTCTAATAGTATATGTATCCTTTTAGACTCCTGACATGTTCTTATTTTCATTGGTTGTATTTCAATGAGCTTTTTCAGATTGTCAGTTATGCAGATAGATTCAAGAATAAAGCAATTCTTCTGATCCACTTTTCAGCTAGGTATCAAGCGGATGTAAGTTGCGTCTTTCCTTCCTATTATTGTCATTACTTTGTTTGTGCCATTTATCCTGTATTAGGGTTTTACTCAAAGAATATGATATGATATAATAATTCAGTAATGATTCTAATGGATTAAGTTACAATATTTACAAAAACTACAAAGCAAGTGTGTGTGTGTGTTTCCCAACTGATATATTGAAGTCTTGTAATGCTAGTTTAGACCAGCTCCTAGTCAAACAACTATTTATCCATCATTTGGGGGAAAAAAAGCTATTTCTCCATTATTATTATTATTATTTTGAACTTCTAATTGTCCGCTATTTCTTATTCTTTTCTTTTCTTATTTTTTATGGGGTGTCACAATCAAAGTCCTTGCTGTGATTTAATCCCAAAGATTTTCCCTGATTCAATAGATTATGCCAGGGTTGGTGAATCATCGAGTGTTATAAATAATATGGGTTGTTGGGTTCGTTTTGTATTGACTGTCTCTGGTCTGTTTATATGCTTCTTTAGTTTCTATTCTGTCATAACTAAGTCATCCTACTCTGCTTATTTTCTATCAGGAAATTCAAGATGCTGTTTCAGCATTGCCACGTCCTTTGGCAGGTCGAGTTTTTATGCTTACAGAAGGTTTCTGATTAGCATTATAGCTCAAAAGTAGGTTAACCACTGATTTTCGTGAAATTTTGCTTTTCCTTTTGGTGAAATATATTATTCCCTTTTCCCAAGTCTTGTTGGGAAGAGAATACATTTTCTTCATGTTGACTTATCTATGGCCACAAAAACTTTTTTTAAGATGGTTTTCATACTAATTGTATACAAATAAGAGTTATTTTGGAAGTGTTGGCCTATACGAACTTGAAAGATATCCAGATGGGTTGCTTTTATAATTTTGTTTTGATTGAAGTCAAGTAGCCTTAGCAGAACATGCTCAAGCTCAGAGGCACCCCATCCAATTGTCTTTTAGGGTTTGAGATTGTCTGCTTCTGTTTATATTTTAGCAGTTTGGCCGTCATTGTCATTCTTGCCATATGCTATGTTACATGGACTTGGGTACCGGTGTCGGACGCGGGTATGTATCCATGCGTTGGACGTATCAAATCTCTAAAAGAAGGACACACGTACACGACTAAATATTCATTTTATTAATTATTTTATTTTATTTTTTAGAATAAAGTAATGTTTTTATTTAATATAATGTTCAATATAGTCGTTTAACTCATTTTAAAGTAATAATATAATGTAATTGAATGATTGAATATACTTTTTAAGTACATGTCCAACTAAAAGTGTCGGACACATATTCCATACTCATGTTCGAGGGATACGTGTTCGACACGGGTACTTCACTATTTTTAAAGAGTCTGTGTAACAGAGTCCATATGAATGGAGCCGGTTACATGAATTCTTTATCTCGGTTCCTTTCTATTACCCTCCGTCATGATGAGATTAATTCAAGGGTCTTAAGAATTATATTTTAAATTTTCACTTTCTAAATTGTTTTTCAATCTATTCATACATTATTAAAATCTATGATAGAAAAATCATTATAATTGCGGTTGAACCCTGGAAAATCTGCTTCCCTATTTCACCGGAGACCATTGGATGGATGTGTATTATATATATATTGGCAGGTGTATGTTATATATAAACAATTGTAGGTGCACAATTTTGAAACTACAGGGATAGTCTTTGAACACTTTAGTGTTATTTGCACACTTTTGAAAACAGATAGGGGTGCAGTTGAAAACTATTCCCAAAGTGAGAGTCAGGAATGGTTTTAGGTGCGGCTTTTCAACATCAAAGTCTGTCACAAGAAAGACAAAGAAATGGGTGCTTGTGACTGGATTCGGTGATTCATTGGCCCTGCGACAAGGTAGAATTTCAACAATGTATTATTACCATATAATTTCCCCAGCCCAATGTGTTTTTTTTTTTTTTTTTAGTTAGTACTAACACACGTATACCTCTTCTGAAGTTTGAACTCCTAATCTCTTCCCTATAGAAAGTTGGAGCCTGGTACTGCTAAGCCATTGGTCTATTGGTTATCCCAATCCAATGTTGAGAGCCTCCAGGGCATTCTTCTCGGGACGGGGATGGGCAGCCAACTGCATTGATTTCGGAGTTTCGGCCGGCAATCACAGCGGTGCGGTGGAAGGAGCTGAACCATCAAGTCCTCTTGTACAAAAGAAAATAAAATAAAATAAAATAGATTCTCTCTCTCTCTTCCCACTGTTGAATTAGGATTTGTTCTCTTTGTGGCTTTATTGGGTTACTGAGAAAATAAAAATTGGGTCAGAAAACATATAATCTGGATTAACCAAAAATTTTCAATCCCGTGATGTTGTAAGATTTTTAAGTTTTGATTTGTTTTCTTTTCTTTTCCTCCCGATTTTGTTCACTATCATAAAATTTAAGCTTAACAAATAATTGTTCAAAGTTTTCAGACAAGTATTTGCTTTCAAACAACCGGTTCTAATTGTTTGTTAATTGAAATTTATAATTTTATCAATTAATGAAGCACCAATTGTTATAAAATTAAAGGAGTGATATTTTTCTAGTCCAAATAGTGTATATACTTCATAGTTCTTACGGTGAATGAGAAGAAAAAAAAATATTGAAAGAGAAATTATACAGAGACAAAGAGCCCTTAGAGAGAGAGAAAATAAAAATAGTTAATTTATAGAAAGAAAATTAATTAAATAAGGGTATTATTATATATATTATAATATATAGATATGAGGGAGAAAATGAGTAAAGGGTAGTTTGGGTATTTCAAAAGGGCATTGTTGGTATTAAAGATTATTTTTGGTCACATGACCTGCACATGTCAATTTTGGGGGTCAGAAGTTCTTATTTGCACACTTTTAAAACTACAGGGTAGGATTTGGACATGATGAGTGTTATTTATATACTTTTGAAATAATAAAGGTATTTTTTGTACTTTACCCTATAAACAAGTGACACTATTGTTGTTGTTATTTTTTGTTTTTCTCACTTTCTATCCTAAATTAATTCAAAATATGTGGTATGAGAGTGATTTCAGGATCCTCTTCTGAATAACTTATGTTGTATGTCAATTGTGCATTTAAATTGACAACGCAACAACTTTAAATCGTTATCAAAATAATTTAGCTTAGCAACGTAATTATTAGGTAAAACATATTGAATTCCTGCATAATATGTTGTAGAGTGTCACAATGTAAATGTATTGTATGAACTTTACTGTTTGAAAGATAACGCCAATATGTGCTCAATGTTATTAGGGTTATATCCATTTTTGTTTAGTCATCTAATCCCCCGGTTGTATCCATTTTTGTTTAGCATTCTCTCTTGTTTTCTTCTCTTTTATTTCTTTAATGCATAAGATAAATGAACTGCAAGAAAAGCTTACCAAAAGATTATTATAATTGAGCACTATGTGTGACTTGTACAAATTGAACACTAAGAAGAGAAAATTTCCCATTAGAGGATTTGTGACAAACTTAGGAATGATAGACAAAAACGTCATTATTATGTCTCTTTGATTGTGCGCAAGAGGCATTGTAGTTGCGTGGTTGATTTTTGGATGGATAGTGATTTTGCATTTTCACCTTTGGAAAAGTTTTTCATAATGGAGATCATAATTATCTGATTTTTTTTTTTTGCATTCCTTGAAAGTGATCAATATATACCTTTGGAAAAGTTTTTCAGATAATTATGATCTCCATCATGAAAAACTTTTTCAAAGGTCAAAATGCAAAATCTACAAAATTGTTCACTTGCTTTTTGATGTGTAAGAAAAATGTATGAACACTTTAAATATTAACCATTAGATTCAATTAAACAGTAAAAAATGTAGTTTATTATTTTATATCTATACCATTCATATGTCATTCTCAGACAAATATTAAATGATAATTAGTAAATGATTCTGGACCGTGTGGTCTGATCAATTCAACTAAGAAAAGGGATTCATCAAAATCTAAAAAATAAAAGTTAATATAAATAAGGAATAATTACACCTTCTTCCCATGTAGATTGCCTAAATAATATGACATCTCATTTACTTTAAAATATAACATTGACTTCAGGTTTGAGTAACACTGTCCCTTGTCATAAAATTTGACGTTCTTATCTACTGATGTCGTGATTAAAATTTATTTAACACCCAAAAATACCTTTTGAAAGTTTGAAAATGTTATTTTGTCCATAGTATAATGGATATAATAATTATTTAGTACCAACGGGTTAGTGATTTAGCGGTATCGGTTTCTTACCTATCAAAGAGAGGTCAAAGGTTAAAGTCTCAAAAAAGACATGTGTGTGTGAGTACCAATTAGAAAAAAATATAATAATTATTTAACAAATTTGGGTCATGGTCAATACTGACCGAGGAGGTCAGTGTTATATTTGAAAGTAGAGGTGAGGTTCCTATTATTTAAACAATCTATAGGGGAGGTAAAGTGTATATATCTTTATTATATTTTTTTGTTGAATTGAATCACCTAGTGACATATGGTTTTTTGTTGAATTATTGTTTATGGAGTTTCTAAGATTTCACTATAATGAAGAAAAACGAAATTACAGAATTTGATCTGTTTACACATAATAAGATTTACAGTATTATCAGACTCTACACTTTTATAATTGTACCTAACTACATGTTTGGACGCATGAAAACGGTCTGTCTGTTTTTTTTTCTTCATGAAAACGGTCTCTTGATGATTCTAGTTCCAACAAGCATAAGTTAAATGCAAGTGATAACATTAAAAGAAGAAGCAATGCGATTTGTATACAAAGTTTTGCATTGTCGGTTGAAAATCATTATGTGATCGTCATTGATTTCTATTTGAACTTGGACAAATCTGAGAAGTAGTACACGCATACAAATTCTATTTTTTTTATAAATTAATTATGAACTTAGGTTGTTCTAGTTATGCCCAAGTGGAACGTACTTGAACTATGGTTATTATTATTAGTATTATTTGTGTGCATATGTGAATGAATGAATAATTAACTAATGCACTTCCATTTTGGGAAAAATTAAGTTTTCAAAGTGGCTATAATTGAAGCAGACCACATCAAATATGTCATAGAAGGTACTCGTCATGTCCCAAAAGCATCAAGTTGTCCACTATCCACATGTTTTATTTTCATACATGCATGCATACATATGCGCACACACAATTTAGTACTAAGGTCAAAATAGTGCAAACCACTAGCCAATTTTTTTTATAGATAAATGCTATTCATTGACAAATGTGTATTATGAGCTCCAACGCTCACTTTCCTTTCACAAATGTCCGTTAGGTGTTCAAACTCCTCACATTCTCTTTAATTAAGAGAAGAGAAACCACCGCTATTCACCTACAAATTTTGTTCTTGTGAAGTGAGTGGGCAAGTATCTAGCCCGACCCATATTCCAGATGTTTTTGTGAGCGACCCAAGTGCAAATTTCATTGAAGTATCAGTCCAATCCTCGTGGATTGTGGACGTGTAAAGGCCAAGATAGGTTTCTCATAATACAAGGCATGGACCCACCACCTCCCGAGCCTTCACTTTCTTAGTCCACTCTTGCTTCACCCTTTGAAAGCTAGTAAAGCTTGGGGACATGAAAAACAAATCGACCATGCTATGGACAAACGCTTCAATAGCCATCTTTGGTGTGATGCAGCGTTGGTGCCTGTTACTTTCATTCCCCATATCTTCTTGTTGTTATTGTGTACTTATGTTGTTTTGTTTCTCTAGTGGTGTTTGTTTGTTTGTTTGTCAAGGAAAAAACCAAAAAAAAAAAAAAAACACACACACACACACAAGAAGAAGAAGTGAGTGACCTAATTGTATTAGCTAAATATTTTACAAACTATGATTCACTATATCAGCAAATACGCACACTGCTTATCGGTCAGTTTGTAACCCATTTTCAAAGGTTCGATACTATTGCATACCTTTATGAATCTACCGATTTATTCGCCCGAGTCTACTACGATTGCAATGCACAAACATATAGATCCCGTTTGGGGAGCTTTCTGGAGCCTCAAAAAGTCCTTCCAAGCTTGAAAAGTCCATTTGAAAAAAATTGTAACTTTGGTTACACATATGTTAAACACTTTCTTGAAAATCAAATGGCCAAGAAACCCATTTCAAACAATTAAGAAAATATTACTTTTGAAAACTCTTTTTAAGAAGCCAATTTTTTTTCAACGATAAATTTATTATTTTACTAATTTGTACATGTACTTTTTATAAATTGACAAGATTATCCTATATTCTATCTTAGTCCTCCGTTCCACCCCACCACCACTAACTTCTACCACCGGCACCATCACCCTTCACTACCACCTTCCACCACCATCACCTTCCACAACCGCCACCATTACCCTTCACTACCACTACCACTACCACCAACCACTACCACCGTGACCTTTACCACAACCATTGCCACCACCGCCACCACCACCTTCCACCACCATCACCATTTTCACCTCCACCATCACCCTCCACTACCATTGCCATCGCCACCTTCTAGGCTTCCACCACTACCATTGCTGCCACCGCAACCCTCAACCGTGACCTTCCACCACCGTCGACGTCATCACATTCCACCACCAACCTCCTCAACCGCCACCTTCCACCACTACCATCGCAATTACTTTCTGCCACCACCACTATATATTAGCATTGTCATCGCCTTTCATTACTGCCGCCTTCACACTTTTTTATTAAAGGGTTGCAATAATTGTTAAGGATAACGGATATTATTGTCAAGAAAAAAATAATTTAAAAGTTAAACTAAATTTAAAAAATGTTTTCGTCAAACGTTTTTTCATATAAATTCATTACAATAAAATTCTTTTCACAAATACCTTTATTAATAAAGGATTTTTAATACGAGGAAGCTCTCCAAACGGGATTACAATCTTTATTTATATAAAATTGTCTGTTTATTTTCAAATCTGGTCAAAGATCATATATTATATTAGTAAAGTGTTGACACGAGGTATAGAATAGAGAGTACGATTGAGAGATCACTTTCAAAAAATAATAATAAATAAAACCGAGGCTGCTGGGCCATCACCCTCAACTTTAATAAGAAAACAGTGAACCTGCAAGCAATATTGTCTATATTACCTGAAACAAAGTTGTCGAAAGTTGGACACAATATCATATAAACACATTGGTTGAAGGCTGCATATACTTAGTGGCCGAAACCAATTGATATTATTGGGTAATGCCTTTTAGTGGCCGAAACCAATTCATTTAATTAGGTATACCTTTTGTAAGGTGTTCCCTTTCTTTGGACTTGCAGTTGTATCAATTTAATTAAGTACACGTTTCTACAAACAATTTGACAACCCACTAGTAGTTGTAGTACCCTTTCCTTGACATTCCTTTTGCTTCAATTCAATCCAAGAAAATTAATTGATACAAATGTAGTACGGGACATGGTGGTTTTCACCCAATTTTGTGTATGTGGCCAAATTCTAAATAAAGAATTTTTCATTAGAAAATTATTTTCATACAATAGAATGTGGTATTTTTTTTTTTTTAATCTTCTTTATTTATTTATTTATTTATTTTGTATACGTAATGATAAAAAGTTTGATGGTCGGATTCAACTAATTTCATATCAATGGTGACACCATCAAAAATATTATTAATATTATGATGACGTCAATTTCTATTCACATAAATTAATAAGGCCTAATTTTGTATGTAGGAATGAAATAAATCTAGAAATGAAATAAGAATGGGAATACAATGGAATAGTCATTTTCATTATATTGTTTAATTGTAAATATGAAATAATATAAGAATGAAATAATACTCCCAATTAAAAAACTGTTGCACTCCACTCATTTAGAAGCTCATGAAATTCTAATGAGTGGTAATATACCGTCCGAATCAAACTGCTTAGTATTTTCCAATTTTAATTATTTGTTTGACATTTTATTTTTCCACTAAGCACAAATGCATATAGGGCATTTCTTTCTTTTTAATGGGCCGCGAAGGTACACCATTAGTATTGGTTGGAAGGAAAAGAAAATTTAGGGTTGCATGTCTTATCAACAGGTGCAGATACAATTCAACTATTGCTGAAGTGATCTAAAATGAATTACGTACACTAGACTTAAGGAATTTATGTAGTTTTAATAATACCATACTTTTTATTTTTTTTATTATTATTTTTTTTGGTGTCACTTTAATGGCGTTCAAAGCTTCTACAATCATCTAATTGCGTTCTAATTGCGTTCTATGTTTTTTGGCGTTCTAATTGCGTTCTATTTTTTGCGTTCAAAGCTTCTAGAATCACTTTAATTGCGTTCTATTTTTTTTGGTGTCACTTTAATTGCGTTCTAATTGCGTTCAAAGCCAATAGAGCGATCTAATTGCGTTCAAAGCTTCTAGAATCATGAAAACATACACTTTTTAAACCTAAAAAGACACACACTTTTTTAACCTAAAAAGCAATATAAACATGAAAAACATTGTTTCTCATCTTAATTTCCCAAATCAATCTAGAAAAAGCTAGAAGCAGCAAAATGTTGGTGCAACAGTCTGCGTAATGTCAATCGTGATTGTGCCACTTTGTTTTGTCGTGAGATTCTTATGAAATGATGCATCTCCTGACGTGGAACTTTCTAAAATAATGATCAATTAAGCCTACGCAGCCACATAAATAAATATTATAAAATAAAGCAAGTAAAGTAAAATTTGAGATATGGTATCTAATATTTAACTAAAAGTCTTAATTGGTAAAAATTAACCAATCATTTATGAAAAATCTTGGTGACTCTACTGTATCGAGCAAAACAATCCATTATATTTGAAGCAAGGTACAATAGATTCTGACTCAAACTCATAGATTTTCGTTCTACCAAAAATCAATTGTTGATTGTCCGTAACTTTGCAACTCCCCTGTTCAACAACTCTCGACCTCAAGCTTACTTTGGATCTCTCTAGAAAGATCACTGGTAGATCAACCAACGCTCCACAAATGTCTTTGATTCATTCAAAGTATAATCGAAACCTCCTCTTCCTTCAAATCTGAATTTTGTAAAGTTTTGCAGAAATTAAATCTGTTGTTTTGATAAACTTGTAATCTAATGTAGACTTTATTAGAAAATATATGCTTCATATGATATTTAAAATATAACCAACCTTATATTAATATGTCATGAGATAATTAATAATATGCTAAAAATAATTAATTAATTAATCAACTCGATATTTAATTAAATATGCAAATTAAATCAATAAAATAACAATAATAAATAAAGAACCTGGACCGAGGCTAGTATTGGATACTATGTTATTAAGACAATCTATGTCCTTAAGATAATTTACGTCACGTAAGGTTGAGTGTCCTCATGGATATTGTGAACTTGTAATGAAAGTTCATGGTGAACTTTCAGAGTCACGGTTCGTTGACTGGTGTGAACTTGCAATGAAGTGAACACAACCAAGTACAGAAAAAACGGCTCTTTTTCTACTCTCTCTCTTAAAAAGTTTTTCCCTCATGAGAGTCTCCTCATCCAACGGTCTCCCTCACCGGAAAACCACACCCAACCACTTAAAACCACTATTTCTCCCACTCAAATTCCCTCCGTAGGCATGTTCCACCTATGTCACTCAAAACCCATCCAACCTCAACCCCAAAAGCCCACCTTCAAATCACCTAAAAACCCCCTTTAAGCCACAGAGATCAACTAAAACCCATCCCCAGCAGCAACCCATCACCATTCTAAAACGACCTGCTAATCAACCACCTATCAAAACCCATACCAAAGCACAACCCAATCCAAAGCAGAAAAGGGTCGTCACGTTTTCTGATCATACAACTAATCACTTCCCAACTAATCATGAGCCACACCAGCAAATCAAGCATATTTATAAAGATGACTATAACCAAATTCTTATTGACCTTGACCCATCAAACACACAGGCCATGATTGATGAAATCTATAGGCTCCGAGTTGAAGTTGTTGAGTTTAGGAGCAATTACAGGTATTCTTATCTTCTTGAAGAGGTTGAATGGCTTAGGGACCTCATTGGGAGAGGTCAAGAATCTCAAAGAGTCCTTAGAGCAAGGGTCACGGAACTGAGTGATCAAATTATTCTCCTTAACCACAACTCAATCACTACTGAGGCTCAGAGCTGTTTCAAGGATTCAGATCCACCTTCAGATGTAGTTGTGCCAGAACCACCCCCATTGACCACTCTATTGACCGGACCATACTATCCCACCAAACCAAACACCAGCCAAACATTTCAAAATTCAAATCCTCTACATCATCACATCACTCTGACATATCACAGCCCATTGAGGATAGCTCCTTACACCAAAATAGCACCCTACCCCCAGTTAAAGTCTCCTTAGTCAAAAACCATTCTGTATGCACTCCTATTGTATCACACACCCCTACTACAGCCAGCACATATCCTATTCCCCAAAACCACCAACCAAACATTACCCCCCCCCTCCAAAACCGCAGCCACAAAACAACCTTAACAATCAAACCACCACTTCCCTTCTAAACAACCCTTCTTCTCCAACCACTCTTCCATACATTCCAATCCCCCCAATCATCCCTCCTACACCACAAACACTCAATCCCCCTAAACAGAGGCCAGAATCACTCACTTGGGCTTCAGTTGTGAGGGATTCCAAAACTAAAATGACATTCAAGCACCATCAAGATTCTGTAACTGGAGATTTAATTCTTTCCTCACCAGAAATTGAACATGCAGGCATTTCAGCACTGAGGTCTAGTCTCATAGGATTCTTTGTACACAAAAGTCTTCATTTTGGCCTTATCCAAACCCTCTCAACTAAGTACTGGAGTGACAAAGGTCTTCTCAAGGTTACAAGCTCTGTCAAAGGTTTTTTTGAATTTCACTTCTCCTCTTCAGCCATGTGTGACCTTATTCTGGCTGAAGGACCATGGTTCTTTGCTGGTAAAGCCATTACACTCAAGAAATGGGACCCCGAATTCAGGTACAACCACCATGTCTCCTCCTTACCTATTTGGGTCAAGATCTTTGGGCTTCCTCTGCATTACTGGACTAGTTCAGGATTTAGTCTTGTTGTAAGTGCCATCGGTAAACCCATTTTTGCTAACATCTACACAGAGGAAAAATCCAAGACCAGGTTTGTAAAGCTTTGTATTGAGATCAACACTAACTCCCACTTCCCTGCTACACTGAACCTACAGCTTAACTCAGGGATAATGGCCTCATTAAGGTTTGAATACCTGCACTGTCCTCCAAGCTGCTCATTATGTCAATGCTTTGGACATAATCTTCAAACCTGCCCTTCCTCACCTTCCAAAACCCCTACCCATTCTCTTCACAATCCCAATGATTGGCAAATTGTACCATTCTCCAGGAATTCCCATGAAAATCACACCCTTCTCACTCAACCACCTCAACCAGCCACCCTTAAAAACACTGTTACTCATTTTTTCAGTGATAATGACAAACTTGTCATTAACTTTACTCCTCTGAGACCTCTTGCTACTTATGATGCCACATATAAGGCCCTCATTATTAAGGATACAACATCTATTCCAAACCCTTTTTCTCCACTTTCTGACACTGAAGAGAGCACATCAGGCTCAGAACCTACTACCACATTACCCACACCTTCTGACCCAAGCTCCAGTTTACATAAACCACAAACACCAAAAAAAAAAAAAGAAGAAATCCATGAACCAATCAGCACCAAACAGAGGGATCATCCTCCCATGTGGAAAGCTCTTTAACAGTGTTAAATGGTCATAGCCATATGGAATATTAGAGGCCTAAATGGCCTTGACAAGCAGGATGAGGTTCGTAACCTCATAAGGGAACATAAGGTTAATGTTATGTTAATCATTGAGACCAAAATCAACCAAGTCAATATTGATTTAGTACACAGACCCTTGGCAAAATCTTGGAGCCTACACCACAACTATCAGCACTCCCCTCTTGGCAGAATTTGGATTCAAAGGAATCACAATTCCATTGATATTAAAGTTTTGCAAGAAACCAGGCAAATGATCCACTGTTCCGCTACATTATTGAGGTGTAGAACATCTTTCTTCATATCCTTTGTTTATGGAGCTAATGCTGCAGATGAAAGAAGAACCCTGTGGAGTGATATCACAAGACTCTCCACCAATCTCAGTTCTTCCCCATGGATTTTAGCAGGTGATTTCAACATTATTAAGTCTTCACATGAGAATTTTGGTGGCTCTAGCAGAACCACTCAAGCTCAAGCCATGGTTGAATTCTGTGAGTGCCTTCATGAGGCCAATCTTGAGGACCTGAGGTTTACAGGCATTTTTTTCACTTGGTCCAACAAAAGCTTGGATGTTGCAAATATATCAAGGAAGCTTGATAGAGTGCTCATCAATGGCTCCTGGAATGCATCATTTTCCCTTTCCCACTGCAATTTTTTGCCCTTTGGAATTTCTGACCATGGCCCTATGATCATCACCCTTGGCACACCCAGTCCAAGAAAGAAGGTTCCTTTTAGGTTTTTCAATTGTTGGAGCTCACATGACAGCTTTATTCCTATTGTCAAGTCAATTTGGGATAACCCTATTAGAGGTTTCACTATGTTCCAAGTCACTTCTAAGCTTAAATGTCTTAAGGGTCCTCTCAAGCAACAACTTGCCAAAGAATTCAGTGAGATTACCATGAAAGTCCAACTGACCAAGGAAAAGCTATCCCTTTGCCAAACTGCTTTGGATAATGTCCCAAATGATCCTGTCCTTCGAACACAAAAGAGAGAGATCCTTGCATCATATAAGAAACTCAAAGAAGTAGAAGAACTCACCTACAGGCAAAAATCTAGGTTTCAATGGCTCAAGGAGGGGGATTCCAACACTGCTTATTTTTTCAAGACCATATCATCAAGATTCAATAGAAATAAAATTACCAGTCTCTTGGATGCCACTGGTCATGTCATTGACACTGAAGTACTTATCAAGCAAGAAGTCCTCTTACATTTCCAAACCGCACTTGGACAGTAACACCACAACTACCCAGGTACTGCATCACTTGCACCATTCATTTCCAATGTGGTTAAACCTGAATGTATACCTGCTCCGGTAGCAATACATTCTAATGAGGACATCTACCATTACATGTTCTCACTAAACAATGATAAGCCCCAGGACCTGATGGCTTTAATGTTCTCTTTTTCAAAAAGCATGGCCTGTAATTGGGTATGATATCACCCAAGCCATTAAAGAATTCTTCATCATAGGGAAGATACTTAAAGAAATTAACAACTCCTCAATCACACTTGTACCCAAAGTCACAAACCCCATATCACTTAATGAGTTTAGACCCATAACATGTTGAACTACCATCTACAAATGTGTCTCAAAACTCATTGCCAACAAACTCAGACCAATCCTCCCATCCATCATAAGCCCATCCCAGTCAGCTTTTATCCATGGTAGGCATATTGAGGATAACATCCTTATGGCACAGGAACTCCTCAATGGCTACCACAGATTCACTGGTTCACCTAGGTGTATAATGAAAATTGACCTAAGAAAGGCCTTTGATACCATCAATTGGGACTTTATCTTGGACACTCTTAGGTTATTGGGTTTCCCTACTATTTTCATAACTTGGGTGGAATCATGTATAACCACTACTTCATTCACCATATCCCTTAATGGCGAATTCCATGGCCATTTCAAAGGAGTCAAGGGGCTAAGACAGGGTGACCCCTTATGTGATACCCCTCGATTCTAGAGCCACGGGTGATCAAGTCCGAGCACAGATCCGAGGGATACCAACTGTCAATATGTAAACAAACAGGAATACAAAACGAAATAAAAGAAAATAAATAATAAGCTGAGTAGAAATCTAAATACGAAAAACCTCCAAATAAAAGTTTAATAAAATTTAAACCTTTAAATTTTCGTACAACTCGGGAATCCAACTAATGGACCCCTAATAATCCCAAATGATAAAACTTTACAGAATTAAAATCCAAAACTAAAGTCAGAAAGAAAATCCTATTTAATCGGAAGAGTGAGTGACTGTATCTGCATCCCCACGAACAAGCTCTAAACCTGGTACTGTCAAACATCTGAAAAATAAGGGTAGGTTAGGCCCACATGCAAGTTTCGTACTACTACAATCCATACATAAACCCGATACGCAGATACATCCTAATATAGCTCAACAATAGCTAAAGTAGTCCATATAGATATAAGTACACACTATAGGACGTTCACCAGCCCACATAATCTGTCTCAACCCAAGTAGAACAACTAGGGAAATATCATCAGGCCTGGTTATCAATCCTAGGCGATATACGTACCCTACCCGTGATCAGGAGACTCAAGCTCATATCACGGTACCATAAGTATATATATAAATTCCTTCTTAGTGCAGAAAGATAAAACAAATATCCATTATGTCGTTCAACTGTTTTAATTGACAGGACATGCATCCATGTAGGATTTAACTGTTTTAGTTAATCCATTCCTTATGTATGAATGGGTTAGAATTAGCGTTTTGATCTAATCCATCCTTCCATATGTCACCGTCCCATACCGGTACATACATGCATATGATCCACAGATGATGCACATTCAAATGGACATCAAATAAATCCAGAAACCAGCATAATAGAAAACAGATATTATTAAGATCCTATACATCCAGTATATGATTATAATCATAGATCCTCCTTTTAAATTGTTAAAGTAATGGCAAACAATTTAAACCGTCCATTTCCATATAATTAACAGAACAAAAATTAAAACAGTTCAGCAATTAACAACCATAGCACGATATAATGCTAAACAGAATTGTAACTAAACACATTATACCAGAATGCCAAAAACAATACGTCCATATTAGTCCATGTACTTTGCTAAAGCAACCCTAGCAATTAAATCCTCCTCAATCCTTGACGACATGCAAATTAATATTCAAATTTCATAACGTCATTTAATCCTCAAATATAAATCCAGAGCATAATATATTGAGACATAGAAGTATAAACTGAACACATTATATTTGAGTGCCAAAACTACCTCCATACTAGTCCATTTAGTTTTCTAAAGCGAGACTAGCAAATACAACTTCCACTATTCCTTACAGTATATAATTTAGTATCTAAATTTCATGATGTCTATAACTATAGTAGAAACCAACATTCCTGGGACTTAATAATGTTATATAAATCATTGATATAAAATCCCAAAATTACCTTTCAATTCAGTCTATTTAATTTGCTAAACAACTAGTAATTAAATCTTCCTCCTTCTTTGACAGCATGAATATTATTTTCTATATTTCATGATGTCCATTCCCATAGCCTACACCAATATGCCTAGGTCTTTAATGTGTTATAAACATCATTTAAGAACCCCCATCAAAGTTCAGACTTGCCTTTTAACCCCTGGAGTAACAAAAATCTCAAAATTCTACGTACTGGGCACTTTATAAAATTGGAGCCGCCTCCAATTTTAGGTTGAGCCGGCTCCACACATATTGGAGCCGCCTCAACACTTTGTGGAGCCGGCTCCACTTCAATGGAGCAGCCTCCATTGAAGTGTAGAGCCGCCTCCACTTCCCCAACCTCCGTTTTTCCTTCTCTACTTCCTCTGTGTTGCCTTCTTCGTGTCCGGCAAAGCCTCAGCCCTCTGTCCCACCTTTTGTTAAAGATTTTTAAGGTTCAAATTAAGTCCTAACAATCCTAGAAACTTATCCAACTCCAGAATGAATTACTTGACACAGGCTTAAACTATGAACGAAACAATTTATGCTTCATCTGTTTATCTTCTTCTTCGCTTCCGGCGAAGTTCAATCCTCTGTTCCAAATGTTCTTAAGGTTCAATATAAGTCTCAATAAGCCTAGAAACTCTTCAAATTTTACTGTGAATTTATTGACAGAAGTTTAAATAAAAAACAACCCCATTTATACAAGAAACGATTTCAGATATTTAAACGTAACAAGTTACAGTCCATTATAACATGCATCAACTATCACTTTTAAAAATTTAATTAATCCCTGGAGTCTATATAGAATGCACAGAACACAAGTTTACAGGAATGAGATAGAATAAAACTTGCCTTTAGGTTTCGGTTTGAAACCTTACAACGCCGTTTATGGAGTTTCTGACGAACTCCTATTGCTCAGTTCTATCTCACAGTAACCATACTTTCCTCCTTGACATGAACTTCAATCCAAAGCCCTTTCCCAGTTCCCTTCATGTTTTCCCCTCAACCTCTCTGTTTTTCCTCTCTCCAGACACTACGTGAATAGGGTTTTCTCCAACCCTTACAGACACATATATTGTTTTATATATAGACTTTTATTTAAACCTACGTCTAATTCCAATATGACTTAAAAGTCGGCTAAACCTAACTTCTTAACCCAACGTGAATACATAAAATATAAAACCCTAATTCAAAGAGGTAAATAAAACAAAGAAAATAAATGAACAAATTTTATAGCTACAAATTAAAAATTACCAAATATAAGCTACTAAATACACGTCAAATAAAACATCAATAATCAATTAACAATTAACTTAGAACAAACTCAATTTAAACAATTAAACTAAAATAAATACACGCTTAATTAATTAAGCAAATAATAAAAGAAAATCACCATTAATCAATTAAAAAAACAAAACACATACGTCATATAAAAACAATGCAATAAAAACCAAAATTTAATTTCCATTCCCATTTCATCCTTTTAAAAACTAAGGGTATTACACCTTATCACCATCACTGTTTGTAATTGCTACGCAAGTCCTATCCTCAATCCTTAGCAAGACAATTTCATCAAATCCCTTCAAATACCATTGGAGATGCAAATAACTTACCCTTACCCATTTGATATTTGTTGATGATGTTATGCTCTTTTGCCATGGAAGTGTTCCCTCTGTACAAACACTACTTAGAGCCATTGAAATTTTCTCAAACCTGTCCGGGCTCCATGTTAACCAAGGCAAGAGTCAAATCTTCCTCTCTGGTATGGCCCCTGAAGTTGAATCTGCCATTCTTAACCTTGTTGGATTTGAACAAGGATGTTTACCCATAAGATACCTAGGGGTTCCTCTGATTTCCACCATGTTGAAAACTGTGGATTGCAAAGCACTCACTGATAAGGTTACAGTAAGAATAAGACATTGGTCCAGTAAGATTCTCTCCATTGCAGGAAGGGTTCAACTCATAAAATCTATCCTCTTCAGCACTCAAACCTACTGGTGTACCAAATTCATCCTCCCCGTGAGGATTATTAATGAACTCACAAGCATATTCAGAGCCTTTTTATGGTCTAGACTCGAGCTTAAGAAGGATGGTGCTAAGGTGAAATGGGCTCTTGTGTGCCTCCCAAAAAGGTCTGGTGGTTTAGGCATTCCTGTCCTGAACTGCACTCATGGAATAGGACTGCTATTTTAAAGCACCTTTGGAACATCATCAAGTCTAAGGAAAACATGCTATGGATCACTTGGATCAATACATACTTGCTGAAAGGGAGGAGTATTTAGGAGGTTGGTACTCCAAGCCAATGTTCTTGGACATGGAGGAAGTTGATCCAGCTCAAACATGCTATCAGACTACTTGTCAAGCTCGAAATTGGAAATGGTATGAACTCCAATTTTTGGTTTGACAGTTGGTCACACCTTGGCCCTTTGCATCTTAGAGTTATTTGTCAACAAATATCCTCATCATCATTTGACAATATGACTAAGGTAAGTGTTTTCATCACTGATTCTTCATAGTCATTCCCAACCACCATCACAAACATCATTCCCCAACTCTCCCTCCACAACTTGTTACCCCAGCCAAATTATCTAATTCCTGACAAACTACACTGGATCCCATCACCAACAGGCAAATTTTCTATTGCCCACACCCTTAAATACTTTACCCAGCATATTCCTTCCCTCCCTTGGACCCATCTAGTTTGGACTAAACCAATGATCCCAAAACATTCATTTATCCTTTGGCTTGCCATCCAATCCAGATTGGCGACACTAGATAGGGGTTGCACCTCCTACCTGAATTTGCCAAACCTGTGCCCACTGTGCAATCTGATACCAGAATCACACAACCATCTATTCTTTCAATGCTCTTTCTATTCACCCATTTGGACATTTTTGCAAGCACGCTGTGGCTTTCACATTCTTCCCTCCTTATGGAATGAATTGATAGCTTGGGCTACTCACCATTGGAAGGGCAAAACATTGGACTCCAGGCCACACATTTCAAGGTTAGCACTTACAGCCCTGGTCTACAACATCTGGACAGAACGTAATCGAAGGGTATTTAAGAGGAAAAGGCTCTTTACGAACTCCATCTTGAACAATTTGGAGGAATCAATTCACCTTAAACTCATTGCTGACCCTCCACTGGACTCTCCAATTAACAGGCGAATTATATCTGATTGGAATATTTTTTGGTCCGTGCTGCGTCCACCACTGCGACCTCCAGACTAGGATTGGAGACAGAAGCCCCATCTTCTTAGATTGCTTCATCTTTTGCCTAAATGGCTGCTCACTGGATTCGCGACTAACTATTATGTTCATGTTTGTATTTGTGGGCTTTTCAGCCTTGTAAGCTATCTCCTTGCTTGGGCCGTCCTATTTGGACTTGGTCTTTGTAATTGCCTATCTCAGGCTTCTTATTTATATAAATTTACTTTAACTTTCAAAAAAAAAAAAAAAATTATGTCACGTATGGTGCTGACGGACTCTGTGGCGTTTGTCTCTTAGGATACAACAGTCTACATCTACCAGTAGTAGCACTACAAACTCGTGGATACGGCAAACTTCCTCCGTGTAATACTCTCTCTGACTAAAAAATGCATCTATACTATATAAATGCTAAATTGGATGCAATCCGAACTAAATGGTTCAGACCAATCTTAATATGATTCGATGAAATTGGATTAGGGTCTAAGTGACTCGAACCACTTGACCTATGGTTTAAACCTACTTGGGTTGGGTTCAAGTCTAGAGAGGGAGAGAGAAGAAATTGAATTGAACAATTTGCAAATGGCAGCCCAAGGGGGTATTTATTGAAATAGAAATGCCTTTTCGGATTAGGTGTGACTCTTTATCGTTGGACACAACCATTTATATGTGTCTCTTCATCACTGGACACAACCATTCCAATTGGCTGTAATGGTTCACATGGTATTTGTTCATCAATAGACACATCCACTGCAATAGGTTACAATGGTTCACATGGTGTCTGTTTACCACTAAACACATCCACTCCAATAGGTTATGTATGTTTGTTTTAAGTTGCATCTTTTCATCCTATAACTAATCAGTAATCACACATGTTCAATCAAAGACATCTAAAACTTTGATTTTTTCAATTGAAGCAATCAATTTCTCGTACCTCTCTACTAGGGTTTGTGAAGGACGTTATATATATAGTATAGAGTCCTTACAACAGGTAAAACGAGCTTTTAAAATCGTGTAAGGATTGCCCTACAAATTTGGGTAAAAATAGGAAACTAAAAAGTTACCAAAATCTGATTTTTCGTACATTCAGGAAAGTGCAATCCGTTGGACTTCAGAGTACAATCAGTTGGAAAAGTGCAACCTGTTCTACTTGAAAATGCAATGGATTGTATTTATCCCGAGTACAATTTTTATATAGGAAATGCAACTAGTTCGGCTTTCAAATGCAACTAGTTGGATTTTGCTGAATGCTATTTCCAACCTCTACTCTTCTACCCAATTTTAAAAATACTCACAAGTGTTCCCCACTCACTTAATTGTTCTAATTGATGTTTTCAACGGATTTAACGGTAAGAAGCACTTGTGCTTCAACTCCATAAGTCCGAGACTCAAGATAAACAAAATTACAACTATATCAGCAAATTTTGACCCTGTAATTCATCACTATTACAAATTTCTATCCACACAAAACATCTTTAAATAACCACTTCTTATAGGATTCAGAGTTAAACATTAATGACACTTTAATCACGATATGAAACCTGTTGGGGATAATTAACTCCCTCCAACCCATTCAACGGTCGACTATTGTTAAGAGTTAAATTTTTTCCTTCATCACATATAGCGGAAGCATCATCACATCATATTAACACAAGCATATATGGAGATAACAATCACACACATCCACGTACAATATAATATTTTACATGGTTCACCAAACTCTAAAATTATGTCTATGGGAGAGAGAGAGATTTCACTATTATGAATTAAGGACGAGAATATACAACCACATGTCAAAACCACACTTACTCACTCATCATCTCTTTTGAGGCTACATGTATACACTCGAAAATTACATATACTCTTTCCTCTCTTCACAACACTCACTCTTAAATCGTAACATATTTTCTCTCTTCTCTCTCTCTCTAAACCTCTCATACCCATTTTTATTTATAGTCGTTAAATCCAATTCTTTGTTGGACAAGTATTCCCCAACTTGTTTACAAGAAATTACCATAATGATCAAAACTCTGAAATAGAAACATAATGGGATATAATTTCCTCTACGAATTGCAACTTTCTAAAACGAAAAAGGAAACTAATTTTCTGCACACGAATTTTGAGTAATAAACCCAACAAAACCGGCTTAAGACAGCTTCAAAGCATTCCTCTGTCAAGTTCATGCCTCCAACCAGTCCTCTCCACCTCAAAAATTATTTTGTAATATATCACTGAAGAGAATAGGAAGAAGACTACTATTTTGAAGAGAAATTTCCAAGCCTTGAAGGTTTAAGCACGTTAGTTAAAGAAACTAGAAAGCTTTCAACTTCAAAGTTTGTTTACTGACACAATGTAGGCTTCATATACCCTCCCTTTCGTATATGCATAATTAGAGCATATTCATTCGAATGTTCAATTCCTAGGTGATGCATTCAACAGATAATTTTAACATAGAAATTTCCTCTGTCCTAGTAGTCAAATGTCTAATTATCATTTGGCATAAAATCATATATGTCATATTTAGCATACAACTTTTTGATTTGCCAAATGAATTATTCCTATTATTTAATATATGAATTCCACATATTATTAAAACTTGATCGAGAAAAAACTTTGACAGATTTTCACCAATAATGATTTTGTTTATAAATTTGAATTTGTCCATAATAAATTTGACATACAAGTAGAGTTCTTTTAGATATGCCAAAAATTCGGGTGGAAATGCTCGATTTTCTTTACTTGCCTCTTTCTCCTAGTAAACTCGGATGTTGCCAAGTCTTACTTGATTCCTTATTATTTTTACTTCAAAGTTATTTTAATGTGTGTGCATTCATAACATTATATATTTTTTTATTTATATGTTAAAAGCATCACAATTAATCAAATCAGTATGTTTAAAACTACAATAATTGTAAGAAAACTTTGCTTAATTAAAATTTAAAATCACTAATTTAATCAATATGGGTAGAACCGTAGAATTTCTATTAGATTTTAGGTATAGTTAATTATTAGCATCATGCACTTTTTAGAAAACATGCATTAGGTTCGGTCTTAAGACACTGCCATTATTTTGCTGAAATTTTGAAGAAACTCAAAAAAATTTACACACTTTTCAAAATTATGTTTTTTTTAGAAAAAGGGGCTTACATGGTATTTTCAGACGAGTTCCATAAATCAGTTGAAAAAAAAAAAAAAAAAAAAAAAAAAAAAAAAAAACATTAGATCATGTTTTAGTAGGTCAATTCATGTCAGTACTTTGCCCGAGCAGACACATAAAAAAAAGTTAATGAAACTACATGCATCCCACCTAATAGGTTTGAATTTAGTTCTTAACAATATGTCTAATCTCATTTCCGAAATGCTTAGAGCTTTCACGGAAACGTTGACAGCTTTCTTGAAAAGTCTTGTTTTGTTCATCTTATTTCCACTAAGCCACATGACGAATGATATCACCCCAGCCCTCGCGACCGTACACGTGTCCATGATCATTTACTCCTCCTCACCACTAATTACTTCTTAACTTCTCTTCAACCACTTTCATTTAGTGGAGTTAAACGTAGGCTGTGACGTGCGGTTAATCTCACAACCCATGCAAAAACTGAGGACGTGTCTGGAACTTGCACGAGTGCGTCCTCGCACGTGTCACCACTGCTGCTTACACGTGCGCACACTAGAACAACTTAGGGAAATAGCACAGCCTCGGAATCTTAATTACATTAAATAGCCTTCCATTCCATTTAATTAACCCTTTCACTTTTCTCACTCAACCTCCTTATTTTAGCTCCAAGAACTCTCTCTCTCTTAATATATTTGTCTATATATACAGTCTAATATACTTGTTTCAAGAACACCACAAGTCTCTCTCTTTCTCAAGAAACAAGCAAGAAGAAGGGTCTTGATCTTCTTGCTAGCTTGTTTTCTCTCTCTAAAAAAAACACACACACACACACACTCTCTGTATGGCTGTAATGGGGAAGATATGCAACTTTATACATGGGTCCAGGCCAACGATAATGATGGTGGTGGTTCAGATAGCATTTGCAGGAATGAATGTTTTCTACAAGCTTGCAGCAAATGATGGAATGAATATGAGGGTTTTAGTTGCTTACCGCTTTATGTTCGCCGCTGCTTTTATAGTCCCTCTTGCTCTCTACGTTGAAAGGTTCTATTAATTATATCATTTCCTAATTTATTTTCCCTTTAATATATATATATATATATATATATACACACACACACACACACACATATTTATGTACGTATATGCTATTCTAGAAATTGTTTTTTAAAGAATTTTTTTTAGTCCATTGATATTCACAGAATTTCAATATCTGGGTATTAATTAAAATCGACATGTACTTCTTAATTACTTTTTTTTATTTAATTTAAATTTTAGTTTACAGTTGAACTGTGGTCTAGCGGTATCAGCCCCTACTTTCTAAAGAAAGGGATTCGAATCTTGTGAAAATATATGTGTGTGAGTACTAACTAAAAAAAAATCTTTTGCGAGTCTGTTGTCTAATTGTGGGCGTGGCTAAATGGTCCTAAAGAATTTAGAAGGTTCTCCACTTTGCTCTATTACTATTGGATCATTCATAACTATATCTTAAAATTAAGAAGTAAAATTCCATTTTAATTACTTGGACAAAAAGGTTTTATACAGTTTATATATATGTGTGTGTGTATATATATATGTATGTATTTAATATTATTATTTTAACATGTTATTGATTTTGTTTTCACAGGAACAGAAGGCCAAAGCTGACATGGATGGTAGTGTTACAAGCATTTCTCTGTGGGTTATTTGGGTAAGTTGCATATATATATGTAGGGTATAGTGGTCATTGTGTCTACATGCACGTATGCATTATCTCTAAGTTAATTACTTAGCAACGTAATATCTATTAATAGCCATATATTTCTTTTTAAATTAATTTCTCTCAATAAACTTGTTTTCTTCTAGCTAGAGTCTTAGACTCATCAAAGCAATCTAGCCAATCTCACTCCACAAAAAGTAACAAAGAGTTGGTAGATTTTCGAAATCACAACAATGCCTGTTCAAACGTTACCACCTAATTAAATGAGCAAAATTCATGCACATAAAAAAACAAAACTGTATTCTGGACGCATTAAATTACCTTTATGCATGTGTTCATCAAATATGATGACATCATTGTAGACGTCATTTCTTAAGTCTCGAGCATCCGAAAAAGTGCTTCCCTACTCGGGTCGAGTAAGTCACTACAGGGATAGCAGAAACTAACCACAAAGAACACCCAACGAAACTCGGACCCCAGACTTAGGTTTGTTAAGTTTCAAAATCAAGCAAGTAAATCGTTGGGTCATATCCAAAATGAATTATTTTCAAGTAGTTACTAATTAATAATTGTCTTTTTTCAAAAGTTACTAATTAATTATACTTTACAGAGGATCGTTGGCTCAAAATTTATACGCCGAGAGCTTAGTCTTAACCTCAGCAACATTTGTTTCTGCTATGATCAATCTCGTCCCTGCCATCACCTTTGTCATGGCGATATCAATTGGGTACGTGTGTATATGTATACATATATATATAGGTCACGTGACTCATGTGCAGTTTATTGAATCATATTCGTTTGATTTGAGTTATATGTGTAACTGCCACCTGACTAACTTGTAGTGTATTTAATGATAGCTGTTTGATTTGGGTTCTATGTTGGGTTCAGGTTGGAGAGGTTGGGATTCGGTACGGCCGCGGGTAAAGCAAAGTTGGTGGGGACAGTGATAGGGATAAGTGGGGCCATGCTTCTGACGTTTTATAAGGGAGTTGAAATCAACTTGTGGTCAACGAATTTTGACCTTTTGCATCATCATGATGGACACGTGGCAGTACAGGGGCACCCAAAGTCTGGTAATCGAGTTTTGGGTGCTTTTTTGGTTGTGTGCAGTTGTTTCTCTATTGCACTGGGGTTGATCATTCAGGTCAGGATCTTGCAAGGAATTCTCTACTGATATTCCCATATTGCCCTTTACTAATATTTTTATTTCCATTTTTGTACATTGGTGGGCCAGGCTAAGATGGTTCAGAAGTATCCCTGTCACTACTCCAGCACCGCTCTGATCTCTGTGATGGGGGCAATCCAGGCCACTATTTTTGCCCTCTGCGTGGAGAAAGATTGGACTCAATGGAAGTTGGGTTGGAACATTAGACTAATGACAATATTTTACTCGGTATGTTTTTCTAATTAGACATGAAACATACGGATTTTGAAGAAACTTTAAATTTAAATTCATATTTTATTTTTGAATTCATATTTGAATTGGAATCGGATCCTATTGACATAATTCACTTTCAATAATGCTTGTCTCATAAATTTATGGTACAAGTGGAGAAAACTTCTTAATTTTTACAGCTAATGTGCCATGATATAACTAATTGAATCACTTTTATATAAGTTGGACGAGCATTTAAAAAAATAAGAAGGTTATTTATTTATTTTTTTTACAAAGGAATAAACACAGTTTGTAAGGAGGTGGTTCCTCCTAATACCTCTCACGAGGCAAGTATGTCGTCCTAGCTGGATTACATCTCTACTTAATTACATAGATTTGAGATATTTATTCAAATTGTACTGGATTAATTTTCAAATCAACCTTGTTCCAATTCATGCCCAAATTAATTAGTTGGTTATTATGATTAAATTTTCATGTGCTTGTGGAATTGTGTTGTAGGGAATTGTGGCCACTGGACTAACGATTACTCTCACTGCATGGTGTGTACGTATGAGGGGTCCACTTTTTGCATCAGTTTTTAGTCCTTTGATGCTTGTGCTCGTAGCAATTGCTTGTTCTTTACTTTTGGATGAGAAGCTACACTTGGGAAGGTAAATGACTCTTGTCACCCTCCAAAGTATAGTTGGTAGTTGGTGATTATATTAATTTATTTTAAACATGTCACCGTAGGTCGTAAAGTATTGTTCCGATTACATGAATTCATTTAAAATGTAATTTTTGTGATTAACTGATTCCTACAGGATAAGATAATTCACTTAACATATGCCATGTACCTAGCCAGGCTCTTAAGTCCTGTTTGGATGACATGAATCCATTTAACATATAATTTTTGTGATTAACAGCGTACTAGGAGCTGTAGTGATAGTGTTTGGATTATACGTTGTGTTATGGGGAAAAGGAAAAGAGATGAAAAGGAACGCTCAACTCATGCCATCCAGAAGCTCCAACGAAGCCGAACGTATCGATATCATCCTCCAATCTTCATCAGAAAACAACAACATTGACAACAAAAATGACAATATTAGTAGCAACGGGATGGAGGTTAATCCCAAAACTCTTCCGATAATGCGTAATAATATTCTACCCGGAAATGTCTTAACGGTAAAGAATAAGGGTGGTGAGGGAGGAGATGAATATCCAAGCTGAATAAGATCGAATGTGTAGACCTGTTTATATATGTGTGTGCGTGCACGCATGAGATACAGATGCAAGAACTTATATATATATATATATATATATATATATATATATATGTATATATATACACGTAATACGTACTTAGTACCATCAATTATAGAAAACTGAGTGTGGCCATTCCAACTACCCATAAAGTCGGGTTTTTTTTTGGTAGGGTTGGAGTTGCATGGCAGGCATTATTGTTTTCTTGTAATGGTGTTCTTTCCATTGTACTAATACTAATGTTATCCTAAAAATGAAATGTATGATAATGACAACTTAATTTCGATGTTTTATTTTATCATATGTTGTTTTACGTTAATGTTGTTTGAAATTAATCTGCAACACATTTTCTTAAAAATGGAATGTATGTTATTTTCAAATTTGGCTGTTAACTATATATTAATTTTATGATGAAGTTACTTAGCTAGATATGATGATAGTTACTTTATTTTATGCCATTGTCCTACCGCCGCTGTCACCTCTACCGCAGCTGCCACCACCTCCCCCACCACATGCACCACTCCACCACCACCACGCGACCACCACCTCCACCACCACTGTTACACCACCACCACTTCCACCAGACAGATGCGTGTGATGGCAACTTTTAGCTAATTAAGAATTCCCAAGTCTTCAAGTTAATTGATACCAGATTGACAACTATAAGCCAAGTGATTAAGACTTTAAGAGAATGCATCTTTAAACTCACAAGAACCTGATAGATCGGAAAAACCTGTCGTGATCGAGAATGTATCTTTAAACTCGGTTCATATATAATTATTTGTGTAGGTGGTGGTGGGTGTGGTGGGGGAAGTGGTTGTCACAGTGGCTAGTGGTGGAAAGGAGTGTAGTTAAAGTTAAATCAGATTAAAAAAATTAATTTTTTTTTTTTTTTTTTTTTTTCAATACAGTATCTATTATAGTCATTTCACTATTAATGGCTAACTAAACTAATGAATTTTTTTAAAAATTAACTAATTTTTCAAATAGCAGTGGGATTAGATTAAAGGTTTACAACTAAAAGTGAGCAATTGATCGATACTCCCTATATTTATATATGTGTGTATTCGTATATATATCTAAAAATAGAGATAAAATTCGGAATGAGAGAGAAACTGGATTTTATAAGTATCTCAGAGAGTGACCAGTATATGTATATATGTATTTTTATAGAGAGAAAACCGGCTTGCAAGCATTTTTTTTTGTAAATCAATTCATTGATGGAGACAAAAACTGTGCAAAGCAAAAATAGGCAACCATCCAACCAACAGGATGAAAACCCATTGTAGACACCCATTTTGTCTCTTCCCGTCTGTAGGGCATTTCGAAAAAAATTCAAATGAAGTTCGTCTTTCAATAACACTAATTAATTTGGAAAAATTAGAAAAATCAAAAAATTCAATCATCATATAGTAGATTAATGAACATTACCATTGGGTCCGGAATTCCCCAAAATATTGGGATACACCTAGAGTGAAGTTAGCACTTGATCGAGAAGGGGTAAAATTGTAATTTCACACTCCTCACCTGGGCCCCAATATTTCGGAACATATTACTTTAAGAGCATAAGAGCATATCTAGCAATGTGTTAAAAGATGCTTTTGTATAAAATATACACAATGGGTAAAAAAATTTTTTTTTTTATCTCCTATGTCAAAATACATCACCAAGAACATTTTTTTTTTTTAATCTTTGGAGGGTGACGAGGAATCTACATAGCCAGAAGCTTCAAACCTTCTCTCAGAAGTAAAGCTTCACCAACCTTGGTACTAGCAACTGTAGAGAAGAAAAAAGAATTAAGCAATACGAACAGAACATCCTCTATGAGTTCTCAACACTACTACATGCAACAACAAATGTTTTAGGTAGATGATGAAAGGCTGCATCAATGTTGAATTTTAGTCTTCCTTCCACTGGAGCAACCCTAGCCGATGTGGGAGGAGCTGAGGAATCTGAATCCAAATAATCTAATAGTCGCATTTGGAATTGCGTATACTCGCAACTTTCATACGCTCGATCTTCTCTAAAAATAAATGGGTCGTATTACTCAGGTAATTAGTTAAAATCAAAATTTACAAAATTAAGTGCTTACTGGCCAAGCATAGCAGCACTATAAATAGGATCTACTTGACACACAAAAGACACATAGACACGCACAAGCCACACACACAGATGCACCAATTAAGCATCAACCCTAGAGCTTGGTGAATCATTCTTAATATTCCGATAAGCCTCCAACAATGTACAAGCATCCAAAAAGAGTCGAAACTCTAGCCGATAACCTTCCAAAAGGTGAAAGGTATCCAAGCGGGTAGGCAGTACGTGGCTCGCGGATGTGTCAAAATTAAGTGCAGATCAGATTTTATTTATTTATTTGGCTGTTCATGTTTATAGTAGCAATACTTTTTTCAATAAGAATTCTGCAGTCACTAGGTTAATCAGCAAACTCTAAACCTCAGAAGAAATACCATAAGTGAATAAGAAGCTTTTAGCTTGATTAGGTATGAGTCCAAAGAGATAGGAGAATGTACTCAGATCATTGGTAAGAACAGAAAGAGAATGAGGGTCACTGTGTCAGAACAACATAAGGTCATTTGTAAATGTAGTGTGAGTGAGACTGTTCTTCTTAGATTTCCAATGGTATCTGAACTGAGAATCATTCTCAGTAACCTTATATATGATTCATTAAATCACATCCGTAACTATCACAAATAGGAAAGGGGACAGAGGGTCTACTTGCCTTAAACCATTAGTGCCTTGGAAATATCTAGTCAATTCCTTATTCAAAGAGATAGCTAGAGAAAGCGCGAGTGGTAATTCAAGCATGGGCTCTCTGAATTAGTTCAACCTTAAGAGTACTTTTGGAATGTGAGAGGAAGAATGGTAGTCCTTCATGAGCTCTTGTACAAGGGAAACACTATCACCAATCCTCCTGTCTTTGATGAAGGTAGCTTGATTCAGAAATAATACTAGGCCACACACATTTAAGTTGTTAGCTAGCAGCTAAGAACTAACTTTGTAGATTGTGTTAAAGCAAGCTATGCGTCTAAACTCATTTACAGTGGAAAGGTTAGGGACTTTAGGAATGAGAGCAAGCTAGGTTGAATTTATTTCTTGCAGCAGCCTCCTATTAACAAAGAAGTCCCTTACGGTTTTAGACACATCCTCACCAATCACTGGCCAAGCTTTCTAAAAAAAAAACGCATTGTAACCATCTATCCCTGAAGATTTGTTGATTTTTAGAAAGAAAAAACAAGTTTTGATTTCCTCAAGAGAATGAATGGCGCTAAGAGATTCATAAAAGTATGAAGGAACAACTTTAGCATTTGAGTTTTGAGAGCATCCATGGCAGGGTAATCACTAGGTCTATTGCCTAATATATTGCTAAACCGATTCACTGTCTCATCTTTGATGACTTGTATGTTGTTAGTAGTTTCCCCATTGGAGAGATTGAGTCTCATAATCTTTTTTTTTTTTTTAGTATTACATTTAAAGGCGTTCATGAAAAATTTAGTGTTTTGGTCACCTTATATACTCATCCAATTGACTCTGGATTTCTGAATGTTGAATTGTTGTTGCCAGATTTTCATAGCTCAATCTGTGACAACACTTTTTCACTTTGCCTGAGTTGCTAATTATTTGAAGGGTTACTATCTAGGTTCTTTTGACAAGGTATACAATGATCCGGTAAATAAGACGTATCAGATGAAAAAAAAAAAAAAAAAAAAAAAGAGGTATGATTGTGTTTCTATTGAGAGAAGTAAGGGTGGAAATGTCTTTGTAACATTTCAAGGGAAAATGTGGTATTCATGTGTTGGGATTTATATGCCTGACATAGCAAATCCTTATTTGAATTATAGCGACATACGTTCCTGACATATCTAAAATATTTATGATTTATATAATTGGTGAATTCAATGTATTATGTTTCAATTCATTATGGAATTGATAGTGTCCACTTGATTACAAGAGATATTTATATATGTATGTGATAGCGATCAATACATGAATATAAATAGTAATCATAAATTGTTCATAGTCGATAATTATGGATGGACTCATTATTAACTAAGACTTGAACTGGATCTGCGTTAGTTTGAGATAAATTACGAGAGCGGTTGTATGCAATTGCTCCCTTTCATTGTCATGGCATTTGACTCTTAAGTATGAGAGAAGTATAGACTTTTTTTTTTTATTAATTAGTAATTACTTTGATTTGTTCGGCGGAATATTCGGAATTCTTAAACTGGTATTTTGGGTAATTATGTAATTAATAGTTAGAGAGTTATATTTTCAATATTTGTATCATTACTACTTGTATTTATTTTGTATTGATTATGCTTGATCATAAAGTAAATTCGAATGCCTTCGTATGTTTTAGACAAAATGTTTTCTATATATTTATTTAGTAAATTATTATTTTTTGTCAAACAAACTTTTATTGTGATCAAGGTGGAAATAGTCAAAGGTAACAAAATAATTATATTAATTATGTTTTCGGATTGATGGTTTTATAATTCGATAAATAATTATGCATAGAGGGGTCAAAGTGCAATATTGACTTAGAGGTTATTTACTATTTAATTGGAGTGCAATTAATTTCTTTTAGTGGAGTAGAAATTAATTTATATTAATTGAATTGGGTCCATAGTTTAATGGACCAGACCAATTATTAATTTATAGTAGGCAAGAAAATAGTAAGCCCAAAGGATTCTCACCCATAGCCCAAGTTGATATTGGAGTCCTATTAGAATGGAGATATGTGAATTAGAAATTGAGAAGGATTTATTATTTCATTTCCTTATCTTTATGTTGCCTATATATACATGGGTCCATATATATTTTAAGATAGATTTTTGAAAGAAAAGAAAGGATATATTATATATTTTATCTCTCTAGTTTTTTAGGGTTTGCTTTCTCTTCTAAAGGAGGCTACCATAAGCCTTGCCTCCAAGATCATTCATCGA